CTCAGTGTCCACACCCAGGGCGGCTGCCTGGATAAAAATCTGCCCCTTCCCCCAGTCACCTTTTTAGCCTCTCCCCCTTCTCCCCCCCAAGAATGGCTGTCTACCCAGGCCCTGTTAGAAGCTCTCAATTCCTCAGAGTGGCCTGAGGCAGTGCAGAGGACCTGTGAGGTCCTCTGCTTTGCCTTCTCACTCATCTGCTAAGCTTGTTTACTGAGCACCACTAAGCAAAGTTAATGAGTATTCCTGTCTTTAGCCAGGAAGAGAAAGGTTATCTTCCCTACCATCACCCATTTCCGTGAGGTCCTCAAGGACTCTGGACTCACTAACCCCGGCTGGCTGTTTCACACAGTCAGAGGAGAACCAGGCCATTTCTCATCCCAGCTGACACTAAGAGCTTTGTGACCTTGGACAAGATGCCTTCTCTTGGGAGTTTGGACTAAGTGATCTCAACTCTTCCAGCTGTGACAACACGTGAGGCAATGAAGAGGGGAAAGTACATGAATGGAAAGGTAGAACCTGATTGTACATGTTTTGTAGGTTCAGGAAAGGTCCTTTGACAACTCACCCAGAGTAGAGGAAGGGAGGTAAAGACTTAGAAACTTCCAGCTCTGGGGAGCAGTCTTCACTGATGATTGAATGAGTACCCTATAAGATTCACCTCTATCAAAGTAACACAAAAGTCCTGCTCATCTTTCAGGTGGGCTTATTCAGGTTCAGTTGACTAACCCAACCTTAAATCCACTTAATTTTTTTTTTATCCCTTCTTACACAAATATGATTATGTGGGAACCTAACCTTCTAAACTGAGGATCTCAGTACTCTCATGGCGTATGATCTTGTGCTACATCCAGCATGGTGGTAGAAAGTAAAGCTAACCTTTTCCAGGTATTATGTAGAATTGAGTTCTGCTCTGTGACCTTTTACCCCACCCTGGCTTATCAAAGGGTCACTTGGCTTGGCTACAAGGATACCCAGCTCAGTGTCTGATGTGTCCCTGGGTGTACTAGTATTCTGTTCCTTCTGCTTCATCTTATAGCTGACTTTCTCTTTCTGGTCTTGTTTTAATTATGGTAGGTAAAAAGCTCCCTGAAACCACTTGCAAAATTGGAGAGGTCAGGCATGAGTGTTAGGACATCTGGAATTTAATGTGAATACTTGTACTTTTGGCATCACACCTTTCTCCCATCTTGATACTTATGCTTTGGAGGAAACTGGTGTTTTCATAGTTCTTGGAGTTGTATATTTATATATATATGTTAAGCTTTGTTCGGGTGAATAAGGGGCGTGGAAGACAGTCTCATTAGGAAATGTCTCTAGCTCAGCATATTAAAAAATTGAGGGATTTGATCTGAGCATTGGGGTACACAAGACTGGAGGAGGAAGACTGAAAATAGAAATCTCATGAGAAAGCACACAATGATGCGGGGATGGCCCAGGTTTCTTCCAGCCTCAAAGGTACTAAGCACCTAGAAGCCACAAAGAAACTTTAGAACAACTTTTTGGAGATCCCTGGGCTTTGGATCATTTGCCAAATGTGCTAACCTTGCTGTTAAAACATCAAAGATTTCTTTTCTCTTTCCCTTGAATGAATACAGTTGGCAGCTTCTACCCCAGTTCCACCCCCTTGGAACAGGAAGCTGAGGCTAAAACATTAAACAACCCTTCTGTTCATTCCCTTCTCCTTTTATTCCCCATGCATCCCCTTTACGGAGGTGTCTGTCCATGCCCTACTAGGGGAACCTTAGTTGATGAAAATTCTGTTTGACCAATTTCAGGCTTCTGTAGGCAACAATAGGCCCAGAAAAGGCCTCCTTTCTAAACCCTCGCTTTTGCCTAACATCCCCTGGCTGCTGTCCCCACATGACCCAAATAAACAGATGATCATGTGAAGCCAGTAAGGCTGTTTGTTTTAAATAGCAAGCATATCCACTAAGCTCTGGAGCAGATGGGGTATTGGGGGCAAGGGAGAGGCTGGCATTTAAATGTGTTCACTTTTATCTCCTGCTTCCCCACCCCTGAAGGAAAAAGTGATTTAGAATATTAGTTAAAAAAATTGTTTTTCTCTTTACTAATTTTTAGAGAGAGAAGAAGGGAGAGAGGGAGAGAGAGAGAGATAGAAACATCGATGAGAGAGAACATCAATTGACCGCCTCCTGCATGCCCCCACTAGGGTTCGGGCCCACAACCTGGGCATGTGCCCCGACTGGGAATCAAACCGGCAACCTCTTGGTGCATGGGTTGACACTCAACCAGTGAACCACACTGACTGGGCACAATATAACTTTTCAAAGTAATGCCTTAATATGATAGTGCCTTAATATGATTGGCAGGGTGGTTGGCCACTTCAGCCTCTAGAAGAGACTTCAGGAACTTTATGTGTGCATGGCTACTGGAGGGCAGAAGGGTATGGCTGGAAGTAACTCCCTGAGCATCCTGGGCCAGTGTGCAGAATGGTTCAGTGCTGACCCCAAACAAAATGAGAACTTGATCAACAACATTATTTCAGGCCACTATTATATATACTGTTTATCCTCCCCCCACCCACACTACATACACCTGTATATTGCCTTTAAACTTGCCATTTTCTTTGGTTGTGCAGTGGGCCAGGCCCAACAACACTAGTAGCAAGTTGCAGACACCTTGTCAAAACCAGCATAGATCTTAGCCCCTCTGGGAAAAGGGCAGTCATCCATCTCATGGAGAAGAACTAGGATGTTCTCTACTCCCCCGTTGCTTTCCAGCTTCATCATAAGCAGAGCCAGTGGCACCCAGACATTTTTGTTTGTAATAGCCTCTCCATGCTCATGTGTAGATGTTAGGGTATTAAGTGGGCAAAGGTCAGAGCCCTTTGTAGACTGGTGCTAGCAAACAATCCCCTTCTGTTTACTAGGTTCTTAATTTCCAGGATTTGTGCAGATTTTTTCTTTTTTAAAAATTTGTTGATTTGAGAGAGAGAGAGACATTAATTTGTTTTTCCACTTATTTATATATGTGCATTCATTGGTTGATTCTTGTATGTGCCCTGATGGGGAATTGAACCCGCAACCTTGGTGTATTGGATGCAGCTCTAACCAGTTGAGCTACTCGGCTAGGGCATGTGCAGGTTTTCCTTCCCTAGGATGTACTGTGCCCTCAGAGGTAAGGAGCAAAGCCAGCAAGCATGCATCTGGACCAGCTTTCAATGGGTCTCACTCTCCTCTAGCCCCCAAAATAGGAATTTATCCATCTAACGCACAGTAGGGATGGGATGGGATGGGATGGATTGGCAGGGTGGTTGACCACTGAGCCTTCCTCATAAAGGTTCACATTCTGGCTTTTTCTGATGGTGATGCCCCAGCTATGGAATCCCCAACCCAAGTGGCACTGTCCTCCCACTCTACTGTACTTTATTAGCAAAGAAAGAAATCTGGGGCCAGGACCAAGAGGACCTCAGGCCTGTTGTCATTGGGACAACAGAACTGGACGTACACCAGGGTGCCCCAAATATGCCTTAAGCAGGCCTGTGCATGTCACTACAAACTGTACCAGGGGATTTCTGCAGCTTTCCCCAAAGCAGATTGGGTATTTGAAAAACAGCCTCGGGTAAAGATTATGGTTCCAAATCACATGTTAAATGGTCGAACTCCTTCCCATGAGAGCAATTTGATATTCCTCCAGGGCTTTTTTTCTATGGGGACCCTGTCCTAGAACTGCCCTTAAAAGAGTCATCCTTGAGGTCAGGAATCAATGCTCTTCCCTACGGAGCAACAAATACTGAGTGACCTTAGGTAAGTCCTTTCTGGTCTCTGGGCCTATTTCCTTACCTGCAAGATGACGATTTGGGCAAACTGAGTTCAAAGGTCAAACTTTCTGATGGCGCCCCCCCTGCACCCTCAAACACTAGCTCAAGAAACAGCGGGAAGGAGGGTCCTCGCTGGGAGGTTCCGCCCTTTCGGCGAGCGCGGTTAAGGCCCGGCCAAGAGACCCCGCCCCCGCGCCCCACCCGCGGCCAGTGTAGCCCAGCCACCGGGAGGGCCGGGCTTCCGCCCTCCACGTTGTTGTTCCCGATTTGGGCCACGCCCCCTGGTTTGGCTGTAGATACCTCGTATTAACCGCCCTACCAGGGTCCCAGAATAAAGGGTGGCCTCTGGGGTGGCACAGTTTGAGCCTCCGCCCACATCAGACAGGAGTGGACAAAGAGTTTAGGGGAAGGAAAGAGAGACTTTCTTTTAAATGAAGAATGGTTAAAAGTCAAAGATGGGCCAGGACACAACTGCAGAATTTCACTCTAGGCGTACCGACCTCCATTCACACAGTGGCCCCATTCGCACCCGTGAATGTGACCCTGCAAAGCACTGGCCCTTTAAACAGACGGCTGGCGGTGCGGGGTGTCCATGTGGAGCTGCTCCATGCCGTGTTGTCCTGCCCGCCCATTGGCCCGCGGCCCAGTGACGTAGCCTAATAGAATGCTAACGCACTGCGGGGGGAGGAATGGAGACAAAACGCGGAATCGGATCGCCACTCCGCTCCCTCCGCCAATTCTCTGGCAGCCTCCTGCTGTCAGCTCCGCCCAGGGGCGGGTCCCGGGGCAATTGCAACAGCCGGGTGGTAGCAGGAATTGGGTCACGTGTGGGTAGGGAGCAGAGACCCAGGGATCAGGCCGGTCTCTACCATCCAATTGTTTCCCTGACCTAGAATGTCCTTCTTTGAGCTACTTAAGTGTTGAATTTTCCACCTTTTCTTCCCTCCAGCAGGACAAATTTTGTTGTGAATAACCCAAACACACCCCCACAGTCCTTGCTCAACTTGTGGCATGCAATCGGGGCGGGGCGAGGCGGGAAAGCGGAAATGAAGGGCGCGAATCCGGCCCCAGCTTCTCCCACCCCCAACCCAGGCCACGTGTGCTCCCGCCGCATATAGTGGGCGGGGACAGCTCGCTCCCAACCCCGCCCCTCCTTCCGTGAGACGCCTGGGCCCTGCGGGTGGGGGCTCCGGTCCGGGCTTTGGCTTCGGCCCCGGTGTAGTAGCGGGGGCGGCGGCCGGGGGCAGCGCGGCTCCTTCCCTTGTTGTGTGTGTCGGTGCCTCCTCGCCATCTTGTTGCAAAGCCTTTTCTTGTCGGCGGGACTCCTGGGGGCCGCGGGGCGGGAGGCAATAGAAGGAAGGAAGAGAGGGAGGGGAAGGAAAAAGACAGTGGCGCCTTTTTTTTTTGCATCAAATTATTTTAATTTGCAAATTATATTTTGCAAATATTTTGGGAGACATTGATTTTTCTCCCTGTGCTCCCCCGTTCTTGCCTGCGGAGTGCGCTGCGCCGCCCAACCCTGTCGCCCTCCGGAGGTGATCCCTCCCTCCTGCCTGCCCGCCAGCCTGTCCTGTGCCTGGCTCGCGGGCCGCAGTCTCGGCCCCGGCGCGCCCCCGGCAGCTCTCGGCGCGATGAGCATAGAGACGCTACTGGAGGCGGCCCGCTTCCTGGAATGGCAAGCGCAGCAACAACAGAGAGCACGTGGTGAGCGGCCGGGCTGGGCCCCTGGGGCACCGGGGAATGGGAGGCGAGCTACCCCGGTTCCCGAACCGACGCCGAAACACAGACAAGACCCCCTCCCGGGCGCCCCGCGAAGCCAGGCAGTGCAAGGCTCGGCGCACGAGCCGCCGCCCCGGGAGGGAGGAGTGTTGTGGGCAGTGAAATTAATTAATGACTTCATTAACATGCGGCGAGGGACCCCGCTCCTGTGAGCGCCACCCGGCTGTCTGCCACCCCTTGTACACCTTTTGTGGAGGCTCCTTCCGCGTGGGTCAGTGGCGCCCTCGGTAGCTCTGAGGATGTGTGAGCCGGGGGTGGGGTGAGCAGTGGTGTTGCGTGGGGTGGCAGACCCGTGTGTGCGTGCTTGTGTGCACGGGGGATGTGTGATGGGAGCCTCGAGAAGAGTGGATGAACGGACATGTACACGGGTGAATGTATAGTGCACACGAGTGGGCGTGTGTGTAACGGAGTGGGGGGAAGGAATTACTCTACATGGAGCAACTCTCTGGATTCCTTGGCCCTATGGGGAGGGTGCGGGGGGCGCTCCCAGCAGATCTACGCGCCACTGGGGCGGAGGCGGCCTTTGCAGAATGAAATGACATCGCGTGTCTTATGATCTTGGCCAGCCCCGCCTGACCCCGCCTCCCAGAGCTTGGGCTGGGTCGCGCGTCAGGGGTTTGGGTGAAAGCCGGCTGATTGGGTATTTGAAAAACGGCCTGCAGGTCGCTGTGGGCAGCCCCTGGGCACCCCTTTCTGCTCCCCACTTTAGCCAGTGTGGAATGTGGCGTGTCTGCGCGTTCCATACCCGCTCTCGGCTGGAATGTTGCGTGTGTCTGCGTACCAAGCCCGTTGGTTACACCCGGTGGTGACGTGGACGGGCCCCGCCCCCGACCACGTGCACCGGGGACACTCCCGCTAGGGACCGCGCGGCCCAGCCCCTTGCTGCCTCGCGGTCGACCAGAGGCGGGGCCTGGGCGGGGCTGGCCAAGGGCCTGGCGTCCGGTTGGACCCTGGCTCTGGGCACTGGGTATCTCTCCCGGAGAGCCTCTTTGCCTTGTGAGGGAGGAGCCCAGCTCACCTGTCGGTTCTCGCTCCAACCTCCTGTTTTTGATCGTGAGGTGAGGGAAACCCTCAGAGTTACAGAGCAACAGGATATTTAGAGCTCATATATTCCCACTGACCCCAAAACGTTCTCACCAGGACCCCCCTGGCAACAACCCCGGTCACATTGTGGAATGAGCCAGGCTAAGAAGGGGCAAACTTTGATGCTCCCTCGACACGGGGGAGATGAAAATTTCAGATGCTCCCTATCCCCACGCGCCCTTGTTAATGGTCCCCAGCTTAAGGGTTCTGCAGAAATAGGGTCTAGAGGAAAGACCTCCGTTTTCCGGACTGTTGCCAGGGCTTCAGTGTGTATGCAGTATCGGAGGACTCCTGCTCTCTCCAACCCTCCCCTTCCCAACCCTTCAGTTGGGTTGGTTGTGGTGGAGATTTCGCTTCGCCCTCCTTTCCTTTCTCTCTGCCTATTGTTGCTTCAATGATGAGTCATGCAGGAGGTAGTAGTATGTGTTGTGTGTGTGTGTGTGTGTGTGTGTGTGCGCGCGCGCGCGCGCGCTCCTGCCGCCACCGCGGCCGGTGGGGAGAGTGGGAGGGGGTCGCAGCAGGCCAGGGGCGGGGGGAGCAGTGGGTCCACTGGCCTAGTTGGGTTGACCGGCCTCTCAAGGTCAAGAGTCACTCGAGATATGTGAGACCGATATGCTTGGGTTTTTCAGAACTGACAGACTGAGACATCAGCCCAAACGTCCCTCCCCTCTTGTCTTTGGGGTCCAGAGCAGGGTCAGGCGGTGGATAGTGCTGGTGGTGACCAAGAACTCCCGCGTGCCCAGCTGCAGGAGGAGTAGCTTGCACAAGATTTGGAGAGACTGAGACACCTGCTGCCACCATCAACACAGTACAATTCGAGAATACCTATTGTGTCCCTCCCCGTTGTGTACCTTGTCCCAAGGAAATATTTACCTCACCTTTACTTTACCTGCAGGCTAGTTGACCATAACGGCAAAGGGAGAAGACCCCCACTGTTATCTGTCCACACTTTCCAAAATAAATAAGTCCACAGATGACCAGTAAGGACAGGGAGGATGTGTACAGCACTGAAGGAACCTGGGAATGATTCTCCCCTCAGAAGTTGCAGAGCCCTGCCCTCTCCCCCAGATGGTGAAGACTGGGGGTAGGGAGCTGAGTTGAAGCCTAGTTTAGCTGCCCAATCACAGCTTGTTGGTGGGGCAGGGTTCTTAGTGGGTGGATGGATGCTGGAAAGCCAGATCTACCCCAAAACTCCTGTTCAGATGGGTAGATCTGGCTATGGCAACTTAATCTCCAGAATTCATTTTTTTTCTACTTCTTGAGAGCCTGTCCTCAGACTGGGAATGGGAAGAATGGGAGAGAAGGGAGTGGTGCATGAACCTGCTGACCAGAATTGCTATCTTGGGTTATGTACCTGATGAGCAGCTTTGAACAGGGAGTCTCTTGTGCTTGCCCCCATTTAACCTCAAGGGTCAGTTTCCTGACCTAGAGCAGCCAGATTGCTCACATGATGAACCTGAGGATGTATGTGCCTGAGAGAGAGAAAGGGAGAGAGAGAGCAGAGAGGGAACAGCAAGGCCATCCTGGTGGTCAGCTGGAGGGCTTGGTCATTTCCAGCATTCTTGAGTTGGCTCCATTGGGACCCTATTCTACCTTGATTGGAGGGAGCTGGTTGCGTGTTCAAGGCTTCTGACCTAGTTGCGCTTTGGGCCTGCCTTATGTGCTAAGCTCCCTAATAGCACACAAAAGGGGAAAATGACCCTGAACATTTGGGGCCACCTGGCGTGGATGACTCAGGCCCCAGCTCTGAGCCTGCTGAGCATCTGGACCACAGTGACTGGGGATGGCTGAAGGGAGCACAATGCCCATACTCTCCACTGCGGCCCCTGGAGCACCCCAGAGGAGTCATATTAAATTCCGTGGGGGTGGGGGTGGGGGTGGGATTCAGCCTTTGGGCAGAGCCCAGGGAAGGTATCACAGTATGTATGTGCATATGTGGGAGTGAGAAGGGAGTGCACCCATGGGTGCAGCAGAGCATTGCTTTAAAGAGCCTAAACCCATATGCTTTTGAGGGAGGCCCCAAGGGGCTGCCGGCTTGCTTCCCCAACTTTATCTCTCCCTCTTCAGTGCACTGGAAGGGGGTAGCTACTGGGTTGGGATTGAGTTAGAGCTGGTGGGTAGGAGGAAGCTTTGGTGGGCTGGATCTGGCCTGGGCCACCCCCCTGTTCTTCACCACCAGTGAAGCTTTTTCATGCTGATCCAGATGTGATAAATTTTGGTCTTTCACCTGGGTCCTTTCTGGCACCTGTGAGGCATACCTGCCTGGCTTTGGAAGACAGAGGGTAGGTGAGGAGGTTGCCATCTTCTGGGTGAGCTTTGGAGTTTCTTTACAATATGGGAAAATGAGGTTTGCCTTCAGTCTGAGTTCCCAGCACACCTACCCTTGGGTTTGGGGCCCTGTCTTTCCTCCTAAATAAGGGAGAGTGGGACACTTGACCCAAGGCCAATGGAGGTTTGGGTCCTGGCTCAAAGGAATGGAGGTTGGGACTGTGTTGGGCTCCAGGGCCTTGTCTTGAGGATGAGGAGGGGGGAGGTGAAAGTGGGGGCAGGGAAGTGGACCAGGAATGTCCCAGGCTGGGCCCGAGAAGGGCTCCATAGCTGGAACTCATCGGGTTTCTTTCCCAGTGTGTTCTGTGGGAACCTGGAGCAGAGAGCTGGTTTTCTTTGTGGCTGTAACATAAGACAGTGCTGGTTGGAAAGACCTGGGAGAGCAAGGCCTTCCCTCATTGGAGTAGGCCTGCTGTGGCCTGGCAGCTCCCCTTCCTGAAGGGCAGGGGAAATACAGATACGGAAGAGGCTGGTGCTGACCTGTCCAGCCCCTGAGCTCTGGCTGCTGGGAAACCACTGAGTGCTTCCCCTCTCAGAGCACATCCCCCTCTACTTCCTCCTTTGCCTCTTTTCTGTGGGAGGGAGGGGCTCAGTGCAGGCCTGGCTCACTGAAGTTGTTAATTGGCCAAAGGGCCCCGAACTCTGGTTTTCTGGGGCCCCTGAGCCCAACAGACAAGTAGGGGGTTGATGCCCTCCTGCTGAAGGGGGCACTAAGCCAACCTCGTCACTCAGCCCTACCCCTTGTGGGATGGCCTATTTGGGGCGTGCCCATGCTGTCAGCTGGGTTAGTCAGCAGTGTGGTGAATCCGGGGCAGGTTGACCAGCCTGCTCCCTTGCCTGGGGGCTACAGTCAATTCCCCAGTGCTCCAGCCCAGCTCTCTAGCCAGGGGCCCCCAAGTGGGGCACGGTGGCAGTAGAGTGGGGCCTCTGGAACAGGAGGGGCTGCTCCCCTTCCGCTGTTCCCAGCAGCTGCTGAGCAGGCCTCCCTTTCCTGCAGGGCTTTCTTTCAGCAGAGGTGCTGGGTGGATAGTATAATGTTGCCCCAGCTCATTGCCTTGCTCAACCTCTATTAAAGTATGGCTTTCCTTTTTGCCTGGCTTGTACCTTTTTACTTTACGCTGCTGGGGGTGGTGGGTGGTGGTATGGGATTTGAGGGAAATGAGTTCTAGCATGACAAAGGGCAGAGAAGGATCAAGTATGTTTTTTAGGGTCCCTGAGGAAAATAGGTTTCCTCATGTGTGAGCTGAAGGTGATATTCCTGACCCACCTGTGGGGGGCTCTTGTGAAGACCCAGGTGTGTGTGTAGACCCTAGTGAGCATAAGGTGGCACAGTAAGTACCAGGCGTCCACCCTGTGTCATAGAGATCTGGATGGGTCTACCCATTTCACCTGTAACTTGCTGTGTGACCCTCAATAAATACTTTGCCTCTCTTAGCTAATTTATCTCAATCTGTGAAATGAAGGTATTACCTCCCTTCTAGAAAGTACTTGGCAAATATTGTTGAAGGTCTTGCCCAGAAGCTATGATCTGTCCATCATGGTCTGGCCTCTGCCCACCTCATCTATCACCCTTTTGCTCCTGACCTCTGCTTATCAGCTGTCTAACCCTTCAACCTTCAGATGGCTAAGCCTCCAGCATCCTTTCTGACAGCTCCCACTCCGCCAAGGCCTGCCTTCTCTGTTATTTTACCCTGTTACTTGTCCCTCCTGCCACCCTCCAGGCTTTGAGCTCCCCAAAAGGAGAGACTGGATTTGTTTTATTTGTTCGTTGCTGTGCCCCCAGCACATAGCCCAGAGTCTAGCTGGGTGTGGATGGATATTTGTGGCATCTCAAGCTGAGCAGAGGTGTTACTGAGCCCTGCCTGAGACAAGGTCAGAAGATGGGCTATGGTCAGAGCACAGGTGAAACTGGGGTCCAGGATTGTTGGCCCTGCTGAGACACCCCTTCTGTTCTCTCTGCGTAGAGGAGCAGGAGCGGCTTCGCTTGGAGCGGGAGCAGGAGCAGAAGAAGGCCAGCAGCCTGGCCAGGCTGGCCCATGCTTTGCCTGTGGAGGAACCCCGCATCGAGGCACCACCCCTGCCTCTGTCGCCACCAGCACCCCCACCAGCACCTCCACCACCACTTGCCACCCCCACCCCACTGACTGTCATTCCTATTCCAGTAGTGACCAACTCCCCTCAGCCTCTGCCCCCACCCCCACCACTGCCCCCTACAGCCCAGCCTCTGCCCTTGGCACCTCGCCAGCCAGCCCTGGTTAGCACCCCTGGACTTAGCATTAAGGATTCTGTTCCCCTGCCCACCAGGCCCCAGGTGCCCACCCCTGCACCCCTGCTGCCAGACTCCAAGCCCACCGGCAGCCCCAAGCCTTTGCAGCCCCTCCCCACACCCATCCTGACCATAGCACCACATCCTGGAGTCCAACCCCAGCTGGCCCCCCAGCAGCCACCCCCACCCACTCTTGGGACCCTGAAGTTGGCACCAGCTGAAGAAGTCAAATCCAGCGAACAGAAGAAGAGGCCTGGGGGGTGAGTGAGGTGTGGCAGAGTTGGGGCTGGTGGAATGGAGAGAAATGCCCACCCCCTGGGCTGTGTGTGCAAGAGAAACTACTCTCCCCAGCTAGCCCTTCAGAACCGTGTCCTCCCTACCTCTCCAACAAAAAATCGTCCTCCTATATTTGGACACATTCTCACTGTGTTGTGCCCAGCAGGATCTCGGGAGTGGGGAATGACTATTGCCCTCTGTTGTTCTCAAGCTTCTGTGTTCCCTGATTCCCTCCAAGGTTTGGGCTGATAGCATTTGTAGGGCCTTTGGAAAGAGTGCTGTATTCTGGACCTCCTGGGTAAGGGCTGGGGTCAACTGCATATTTCTTTGAGCCTGAGGAGCCCTTCTGTCTCAGAGGTGGAGAGGTGGGATGGAGGGTTAACGGGGTTGTGAATTATGAGTACACATGTGCCCTCCATGGGGTGAATGCAACAGCGCACTGGGTGAACATCTTCCCTTGCTGCTTTCATAGAGAGGTCAAGTCGGGAGCAAAAAGCCTGTGGCATTTGAGGGGTGGGGGCAGGGGGCAGGAAGGCCGTCTAATCGGGCCCTCCTCCCTGAGCCTCCTGTCTGTCTGGGTTGCAGGATCGGAACCAGAGAAGTCCACAACAAATTGGAGAAGAACAGGTGTGTGTGTGTGTGCGCGTGCGTGCGTCTGTGTGTGTGTGTACGTGTGTGATCTGGTTCTACCCTTGGTCCCCCAAGCTTCCTTGGGCCTTCCCTCCCTTCCCCCACCGCGTCCCCCCACCCCCTCGCGCTGGCTGACCAGCGGTGCTCGCCCTCCTCTCCTCAGGAGGGCCCATCTGAAGGAATGCTTTGAGACCCTGAAGCGCAATATCCCCAACGTGGACGACAAGAAGACATCGAATCTGAGCGTGCTGCGGACGGCACTGCGGTACATCCAGGTATGGGGGAGGGAGGCCTGGGGGAGAGGAGGCGGGCGGTGGCAGTGCTGGCCGCAGCTCCGCCAGCTTCCTCCCCACTCCTGCGGCCCTCCGCCCCTCTCCGCGGCCCCGCCCGCCTCCACGCGGGCGCTGAGCACATGGCCGGCTGACGTCAGCGGGGCTCCCCGCCCAGGAGGGGGCGGGAGGGCGCCTGCGCAGGGAGTGTAGTAGCGGGGCTCCTCTGCCTCCCTCCCCCCCACCCCCGCCGGACCGCCCCGCAGAGCCCCGGCAACTGCTGGGCCTGGCAGCTGTGTGTCGAACTGGTGCCGTCCGTCCGTCCGTCCGTGGTCCATGGCCTGATGCTGTTAGTGCACCACGGGTGAAAAGGGCGTGGAGCGGCCCCCGCCCTCGCCTCCACCCCGCCCATAGTGCCGGGGCGGGAACCGGATTCGGCCCGAGGCTCGTGGGTGGGTGGGGTCCCCGGTCCCCGGAGCGTGGCTCCTTCTGGGCAGCGCGCCAGTGAAGCCCCCTACTTTCACCCCAGAAGGATGAAGATCCCTCCAGTGGGTGCATTGAGGGGGCTTTGGGGAAGTGCGGCGGTCTGACTGGGTGACAAATAGTCACGGTGACACCGAACCTTTAAAAATTACGCTCTCCTTCCGTCTGGATTTTTAAAAAGCTCTTTCCAAGGGGCTTTCCTGTGTGTCCCCTTCCTTTGGGCATTGGCTCTCCTCTGCAGTACAGGGCGGGGGGGTGGGCCCGCCAGATAAGACTGTTGCCATGACGGCCGGAGTTTCGGTTTCCTTGGAAACCGGCCGAAGGTTCCGCGTGCCGGGAAGGAGGCTGTGGGGGTGGGGCGGACCGCCACGCACGGCTGCAGCTGAGACGGAGTCGGAACCAGCCGTTGGGGGAGTGGGAGGGGCCTAGGCTTCTTCCCGCGCGGGCGGGGGCGGAGGAGCCTTGGGTCTCCCTATCTGCGCCTCTGGAAGCTTGGGGGCTGGGCTAGAAGCCAGCGGCAGAGCACCACCCTCCCTCCCACCACCACCCCTCCCACCACCACCACCACCACCACCACCCCTCCCACCACCCCTCCCACCACCACCACCACCCTCCCTCCCACCACCACCCCTCCCACCACCACCACCACCACCACCACCCCTCCCACCACCACCACCACCACCGGCCTCAACTGCCGGGTCACAGCCCTGAGGTAACCGCTGCCTGACTTGTTGAAGGGCGGAGGCACTGCTTCGGGACTGCTCCCGGCAGGCATCCTCCCGCAGACGCGCGCCCTTCCGCCCGCCCTCTGCCGGGCGGGGCTGGCGCGCTTCCCAGCACCCGGGAGAGGCGTGGCCTGGCCGCGGGTTGGTGGGACCGGGCGGGGGCGGGGCTCCTGAGAGCTAGGAGGGAGGGTGCGGCCCGAGGGGGTGACGCTGCAAAGCCGGGTCCGCGTGGGTGCGCGCGTGCCCCTGGAGGGGCGGAGCATTGCCTGTGTCCGGAATGGCGCGGGAGGGGGAGGGGCCGGGCTGTGGGTTTAGGATCGTGCCGGGGAGACTTATTTCTGGGATGTTTTTGCGGAATTTGGGTTTGACTGTAAGTTACTGGTCTTTCATATGGCCTGGGAGCAAATCCCTGTCCAAATGCTGTGATATTCCTGTGAATATCCTTTTTTTCTCCTGTACTGTGGTGATGCTAAATAGGAAAAAAATAGCATCTCGTCATGGGGATGTTAGGGGAATTGGACCTTTATAAATATTGACTTAATAGCAGTTGTTGAGAAATTTGAAGGTTCTTTTTTATAGACGCATACTTAGGGAAGGGAGTCTTGCATGACGTATGGATTTGAAAATAAATCACAGCGATTCAGTGGAACCAGCAAACTCCGGGATATGGGCTTGGGCTGAATAGGATGCGCACCTTGGACCCAGGCTGTCCATAGAATTACTTGTCCTGGGGCATACAATGGAGGCAGAATTTTACAAGGCTCTTTGGCTCAGCTGTTGGAGCATTGGCCTGTGTACCACGGGGTCGTGGGTTGATTCCTGGCCCTGGTCGGGGTCCTCGGAGGCAACGGATCCATCTCACATTGATGTTTCTGTCTCTCCCCCCCCCCCCCCTCCAAATATTTAAGGACAGACCTGTGTCTAATTCTGAGGATAAAGTGGGGAACAAAGAAAAAAGTGTGGGTCTCTGTCCTCATAGGTTTGGTCTGGTGGCAGAATATAAACAAATAAACCAAACAGAGGACTGTGCCATGAGGGCGAAGTAGGACAGAGACTGCAGGATTTGTTCTGTGGGGTTAGGGTGTTGTTGCTAAGGATGAAGCATTTGAGATGAGACCTGAAGGTCTCAGGGTGATCTAGGCGAAGTAGAGCACAACGCAGGCAAAAGTTTCTCCAGCAGGAGGGTTGCCACTCACAGTTGGGAGGCAGCAGGGCACTAGATGGGAGTCAAAAAAAGTACTGGAGAGACCATGTAGGGCGTGAAGACTGAGGGCTTTGGTCATGTGCTGTGGCAGGAAGCTGTGGGAGGCCTAGTCCCCAGCCAGACCCAGAGTGGCTAGGAGGTAAAGAATTTGAAGAAAGACCCAGTTAAGTGGACAGACAGGAAGAGGAGGGGTAGGCAGGTACCAAACCACATATCCAGGTAGCCTTAGAAAGGGAATGGGTTTTAAAAGAAGCAGTGTGGACTAAAGTAGACCCTAGGAAAACTTTTCAGGGGCCTCTAGGCTTGTGGGGAACTGGGCTAGGTGAGAAAAGGAGGTTTGAACCAGCAGTTGTGGTTCAGTAGGTTGAGCATTGTCCCATACACCAAAGGGTTACCAGTTGGATTCCGGTTCAGGGCACATGCCCAGGTTTCAGGCAGGGGGTGTGCAGGAGGCAGCACATTGATGTTTCTATCTCTCTCTTCCCCTCTCCCTTTCTCTTTCTCTGAAAATCGATGAAAACTTTTTAATCTTTACCCGAGGATATTCTTCCATTGATTTTTTTTTTTTTTTTTAGATAGAGTTGGGGGAGGGAAAGAGAGAAACATCACTGTGAGAGAGACACATCGTTTGGCTGCCTCCTTCATGACCCTGACAGGGGATTGAACACACAACCGAGGTATGTGCCCTTGATTCCTCGGGTTGATGCTCTAACCACTGAGCCAAACCAGCCAGGGCAAAAAGCGTTTTTGTTTTGTTTTGTTTTTTTTTAAGGTTTGGGTCCCTGATGTTCGCTCTCGCTGAGCCAGAAGTCTACCTTCCCTGCTAGCAGGTAGAATTCAGGACAGCCACCTCCAGCCCCCCGTAGCCAGGTTGGAGTGAAGGTTGACTCACCACAGGCCCTCTCATTGATGTGGCCTTAACTGATATCATGTTCAGTACTGGCTTCTTTGGATGAGAAGCCAAGACAGGTGTGTGTGGGTAAGGGAAGGGCTCTTTCTCGCAGAAATATGGGAAGAAGCAGGCTAATCTCAAAGGCAAGATGATAGAGGGACTGTGTGGCCTGGTACTGGCTACAGAAGTATAAAGCTACCAGGTTTCAGGCTACTACAGACAGAGCATGGCTATATTGGGGTTTTGTGTCTCAGACACTAATGTTTAAGGTATCTTACTGGTGAGGTCAGAAACACAAGGAGTTAGGGGCTGTCGGAGGAGTGAGGGGAAATTAGGCCTGGTTGATGTGTGGAGTTGAAGACATTGTTACGCCCAAGAAGGGCAGGTGAACAGTCAAGACAGGCTGCTGCAAAACTGCCCTTAGGAAAGAAATGAGTGACTGTAATTCTTCTGTGGTGAAGGGGAGAAACAGGATAGAGGAGGGAACTAACACAATCGAATCCTCACAGATTCTTCCCTTGGGACCAGGTACGATGTTGTACATAGCTCTGTCCTGGCCACTGGTGGAGTCGGGATATAAGCTACTTATAGAAGAGTCCTTGCCCTCTCTCACAGGGCTGGACAGGATGGTGTGTGTGAGTGGAGAGCTAAACATGAAATATTTTGTGATATGAGTCAATGTCTGATTAAGTGTGACCTGACAGTGTCATACAATGCTCAGGTGTGTGGTGGATGTCAGGAGGATGTACTGGTGAAGGCATGGGATGGGGGGGACAGTGGAGGAGGTGGAGGCCCAAGTGTAGTCTTAGAGCAGGAGCAGATAAGACTCAGGAGTGAGAGGGGAGGATCCCTGTGTGAGCGTGTGAGCGTCTGGATACGCAGGGTTGGGAGAAGCAAACTAAGACAACCTGGTGAGTTTGGTATATAAAGAGCCAGTGGGCTCTGCACCTGGTCGTGACTGGCAAGTCTTGGAAGCTAGAAGCTCAAGAGAAGTTCAGGTAAGAGATCTGGGAGGTAGCAGGGCAGAATTGGCCGTGTCATCTGGTTGAACCATCAGTCATGCCTGGACAGAGGAGAAGCCAGCAACAGGGAGGCCTGTGAAACTTAGGTTGGTTTAATAGTGTCCGAGTCAGGAGGTCATGTAGGACGGGTGAGACTTCTGGGTGGAAGGGAGCAGGGAAATAAGACATGGGCTGGCACATTGGGGCTGCTTTTAAGCCTCATGCAAAGGGAAACTGGAGACCCTTCTGATAGGAGAGCAAAGCCACATTCTGGGAGGCAACCTAACGGGCAGAAGGTTGCCTGTGGCCCTGGAGAACTTGAGGGGAGATGGCACCCTGTGTAAGGGAGCTCCCCTGGTGTCTTGAGTGAAGTGGGTGGCATCAGTTTCTTGGGGGTGGGAGGGACCTGGAGCCTGTGGTGAAAGAGAAGCCTCTCAGGGGTGCTCAGTCAAGTCACTGTACCCCAAGAGCCATTTCTCATTGATCATTCAACTCAGGTACAGGTGTTAAAGGAGGGGCACATTCCAGAGCCTGGGGATTGTGAAGGCTGTGGGCAGTGTGGGGAGGTGTCACAGGTGGGCACTGCACGGAGTAACCTAGGAGGTCAGAGTGGAGGTGCAGAGCCAGCAGCTGCTGGGGCCAGATGGAGGTCAGTCAAGAATGAACGGGGGGGGGGGGGGGGGGGGGGCGGTGTTACAAAGTCTAGTGGGTCATCCTCTAAGGACACTGAAGTTAAGGAGAGTAGTGAATGATGAGATGGAGAAAAGGCCGAACCATTGGGGTTCTTTGGGGAATGGGTTCCCAAGAGGGTAGCTTGTGGCATCACTGAGTGACACAATGGTACGAATGCGGTATAGGTCTTGGGCAGTACCCCGGAAATCGGTTACACCTTTTGTCATCTGCAGAATGGAGGGAGGTGCTGCCAGGAGGGTGGATGGGGCAAGAGGCAGCGAAGCCCTTCAGGACACAGTTGATGTGGAGAAGGGGAAGCCGCTGGTCTGGATCTGTGCTTTCTTTCAATGGCATCTGCCAGAGAGGCCACATTCCCTGGGACACAGGGAGGGCCTCACTGGGCAGAGCGATGGCCCAGGAGGCAAGTGTGGTCTCCAGCAGCCCCCGTCAGCCTGGGCGGCCTGGTCACTGCAGACCTGCCCCTGTGGACCAGGTGATCTGGAAGCAAGCGTGGCTGTAGGGGGATGTTTGAGGTACTGTGGGCCCTGAGGTTGTTGCTCAGGGTATCCTGCTTTTCCTTGCCCTATTCTCCAGTCCCTGAAGAGGAAGGAGAAGGAATATGAGCATGAGATGGAGCGGCTGGCGCGGGAGAAGATTGCCACGCAGCAGAGGTTGGCAGAGCTCAAACACGAGCTGAGCCAGTGGATGGACGTGCTGGAGATTGACCGTGTGCTCCGACAGACAGGCCAGCCTGAGGACGACCAGGCTTCCACCTCGACTGCCTCTGGTGAGCCCCACCCCTCAAATGTCAGGCTACCTGGCCAGGCCTTTGCCTGCTGGGAAAGATGCCCTCTCACCCCAGCCCCATGATCTCCTGGACCCCCAGGGATATCTGTTTTTCTAGCCTCTTGTTTCCAAGCCCTCTGACCTATCCCTGTCCTCGTGTCCCCCCACAGAGGGTGAGGACAACATAGACGAGGATATGGAGGAGGACCAGGCCGGCCTGAACCTACCTAAGCTGAGCCATCGCCCCCACCCGGAGCTGCCGAAGCCACTGCCCAGCACCGCCCCTGCACCTCTGCCTCCCCACCCACACCCCCACTCCCAGCCTGTGGCTCTTTCTCCTGCCCACCTTCCTGGGCAGCAGCCGCCGCCACAGCAGAAGACACCTCTGCCAGCCCCACCTCCCCCACCAGCTGCCCCTGCCCAGACGCTGGTGCCAGCTCCGGCCCATTTGGTGGCTGCATCTGGGGGAGGCTCTACAGTCATTGCCCACACGGCCACCACCCACGCCTCAGTCATCCAGACTGTGAACCACGTTCTCCAGGGGCCAGGCGGCAAGCATATCGCTCACATTGCCCCCTCAGCTCCCAGCCCTGCTGTGCAGCTGGCACCTGCCACACCCCCCATTGGCCACATCACAGTACACCCTGCTACCCTTAACCACGTGGCCCACCTTGGCTCCCAGCTTCCCTTGTACCCGCAGCCCGTGGCAGTGAGCCAGCCCGTGGCGGTGAGCCACATTGCCCACACCCTCTCGCACCAGCAAGTGAATGGCACAGCTGGGCTGGGGCCCCCCGCCACCGTCATGGCAAAGCCAGCTGTGGGGGCTCAGGTGGTGCACCACCCCCAGCTGGTGGGCCAGACAGTGCTCAACCCTGTGACCATGGTCACCATGCCCTCCTTCCCGGTCAGCACACTCAAGCTGGCTTGAGGATGAGGCCACTCAGAGGCCCCCAGTAGGGGCAAGGAGGGGGACCTATCCCCACACTCTCCCACCAGCTCCACACATTCCAGCCAGGCCCAGGCCCACCCCACCCACACCCACCCCCAGGCCTCCTAGGGGAAGGGGGTGCAGAGACTCTGAGCCAGGGGAGGGAGAGGCCGCCCCAGGGAGCTGGGCACAGGGCAGGGGGTTAGCCCACTGCACTAGGACTTGATAAAGTGATGAGAGACGCTCTGGTGGACATGCTGCCTATTTGGCCTGGTGCTGTTCCTGCCTCCCCATCCAGTCCCCTGAAACCAGTTCGATGTGACGTCGTGTTCTCCAACTTCTCCCTCCACGCCGCCTTCCTGTGCTGCTGCTGCTGCTATTGCTCTGTCTGGTGATGTGGCTGAGCGTTTAGACCCTCCCCTCCCAAGCCTCAGCCTTCTCTTCCCAGGCCTTTGGAGGGGAAAAGGGGGGGAGCTGAACTGAAGCAACTTGGCCCAAAAAGTTGGGGACCACTCTGGGCCCTGCTCTAAGTACAGGTGACAAGTCCTAGGAAGTGGCTGGTCTGAAGTCCTACCCAGACAGGTGGGTGCCCCAGCCTGGGCCTCTCCAACCAAGTTGCAGTCACTGTGATTCCTTACAGCAGAAACTAGTTAAGATGATTTTCTACCAACGGTAAACCAAACCCAAGCTGTTGCCAAGCTTCTGAGCCTTTCAACCCTTACTGGGCTCCTGACCTCAAGAGGGCAGGCTGAGGGTGGGGCGGGAAAGGAGGGACTTGGCTGTCTCCATCATCCCCTCCACCCCCTGGCCTAGGTCTGGACTGGGCTTCTCTGGACCCCCATTCCCATCCCTGGGTGTGGCTTTTGGCTCCTAGAGGCACTCTCCTGACTCCCCTGAGGGATGGGTGCATGGAGTGCCTCCTGGGAGACAGACCAGCATCTGGTCTGGGTTCTAGGAGCCTGAAGCCACAATGTTGAGGCAAAGGGGAAGTTAAAATCCAGGGGTTCCACTAGTACCCCCAATCCTTTCCCAAATATGCCCTGGGGACTTGTAGGGAGGGGGCAGGACCAGGCTATTGCAGGGCTGCTGCTGCTGCCCTAACTTCTCTGTCTCTGGCATCGTCTTTACCCCGAATGTCCCCCTTTCTCCAGCAGGCTTTATTGAGTGTACCCTCCTCCCACCAGGAACGGGTTTTCAGTTGGGCCAAAGGCAGGGCTGAGCTTGGGGGTGGGGAGGAGTCAGGGGAGCTGGCATATAGGGGATGCTGCCTTCCCTGCCCTCGCCTTGGCAGACTTTGGCTTCTCTTTTTATGTGGGTATTTATTACATGTGGCCTTGTGTCAGACAAAACAGTTACACACATGTGCACACTTGGCTCCCCACCTGGACACACTCACCAAAGGCCTTTCAGTGTCGGGGAGGAAGAGTGTGTCCCTAGGTGTGAAGTTTGCACTGACAGGCTTGGGGGTAGGGTGAATGTTGGGGTTCAGGATCCTCTGGAGTGGCCCCAGCAGAGGTCTTGAATGGATGTATATGCCTAAGAACTCCCCTTCAGTTCCTTCCTGATCCTGGAGACCTCCCAGGGGAAGGGGGAGACCTTCTCATGTGTCTCTGGGGGGGGAGGCCTATCAGATGCCTTAGAGGCCTCCGGGAGGGAGCCCCATACTGCCCCCCCAACCCCACGCAGCACTTCCACCTCACAAGCTTGCTGCCTTCCTGCTCCTGCAGCCGCTACCATCACCCTAGTTCCCTGGGGAGCCAGCTTCACTCCTCCCAGTTGATTACAATGGAAAGTACGGGGAGGAGGGCAGGCCTGGCGCCCAGGGAGCTGTCCGAGGAACACGGGTGAGCCGCCTCTCCGCTCCTTCATCTCCCTGCATCCTGAGGCTGGTCCAGAGTTAAAGCTTGTGTCAGCCAGTTGTCCCTCGGGCCTGCACAGATACCTCATCCGCCAGCTGCCCGTGCCCATCCCTGTCCCCAGCAGTGGGGGCTCTGAATCTAGTGCCGAATGACTATGTCCAGACTGGTGACAATGGGTGTTGTTGCTGTTGTTTTTGTTGTTTGTGAATGCTGTGACGCTGTGTGCCCCCAAGAGGGCAGACGCCACCCAGCCCTTTGGGCATCTCCCTTCTGAGAGCTATCAGGACCACATCTGTCCTCACCCTGTGGGACCACCTGCCCCTCCCCTCCCCTCCCTAGCCCTTCCAGCCTGGGGGACGCGCGCGCACACACATCTTACCTCTCATGCGTGTTTTACTTTTTGATGTTCAGAGTGGCTCACTGGCTGGGAATCTTTACCTCGGGGAGAGGGGGAGATTGGTTCCTTGGAGGGGGCCAAAGAAGGGCAGGGAATGCCTGGAGGGAAACGGGGGTGGGGGGTTACCAGAACCCCTACTCTCTCCGGGAACAGCTGCTTCTCCCCCATCCCAGGGTCCCAACCCCATCCCCCAAAGAGGTGGCCCTTGTTTACAGTGAGGACTCGGTCACTGTGTCTCCGTTTCCTGAAATATAAATTGTAGTGACCCCAGACTGTAGAGATTTTTATGTGTTTGGATACATCTGCTGTGTGGGAAAAAAAAACTACAAAAACCCTACTTTTGTATATATTGTATTTTTACTATTGAACTGTATTCTAGTGGCTGTTCATGCTCCAAGACTTTAGGTATTGAGACATGAATACTATCCATGTAATAAGCACTTGCCTGGAATAAAATATAAAATTGAAATAAACCTGCACTGAAACCTGAGATGGAGTTGCCAGCCTACAGCATCTGGGTCCTTTTGTTGCAAAATGAGGCAAAGAGGCCTTCAGAGAAAGACTTCCAGGAAGCAGTGGTCCTTTCCCTTCTGACATTTGGGGGATGGTCCTCAAGCAGTTTCTGTGCTAGTCAATTTTAGAAAAGATGAGAGACCTTCCCGTTCTGATCCCAAAGCTGAATCCTCAACAAGCTCTGAGAACTGCAGTTCTGGTCTTATGCTTTTTCAGTACTTCCTCAAACCATTTTTACCAACACTATCTTGTTTGATCTCCCAACACAGTGAAGTAAATTGCCAAGAACTAGCCCTGTTCTGGCAGAAAGAAAACAGGTTTGAAATGGCTGAGTGACTTAGAGTCATACAGCTAGCCTGGGACCTTGTGTAGCTTGTCAGATCTCAGCTCAGTGCAGGGTTCTCCTGAGCAGGTGCCATACTGCCCTGGGGCCTGTTGTAGAACTGGGGGATCTTGAACTCAAGTTCCAGTGGGAAAGGTGGAGGATCTGTGAGCAGGAGTGAGGACTGAGGGGATGTTGGGGTAGAGGTTAGGACAGGTCAACTGGGGAGTCCATACAGCTGTCCTTTCAGGAAAAGGAACAAAAAGAGGACGAGGTCCAAGCCATGTTCTAAGGTGGGCCTGCAAACCCGGTTCTGTAAAACCTTGGTCCCTATAATTACATCTTCTCTCCCCAGTTCAGAGGAAACAAGCCCTTTGGCAGGCTGGCTCAGGAATAAGTGGGGAGGCGAGGGAGAATTAGCTGGGCCTAGCCAATGACCAGGCAGGCTTCCTCATGCTGTTCTTAACTGCCTGACACTTGTCCCACTCTGGGCCCCAGCCAGGGAAACTGACTCTTTCTCCTTCTGGGGTGGGGGTGGGGTGTGATGTCATCCTTAGGGAAGGGAGTAATGGCCACTAATGTCTTGGGGTTCTGTTCTTTGAAGAAAAGCCAGCCTCAAAAGGCAGACCTAGTGCCCCTCCCCATTGCCCCACAATTTCACCAGCCTTTTCCACTTGTGAGATGCTGGCTCCCTCTACTGGTAGCTCTAGGGAGAGATGGATGCCTTCAACGAAGGGAAGGTGGACCCTTAGGCTTAATTATTTCCTGAACACCCTGTCTGTTTCAGACACGGTGCCCAGCCCTGGGGACAAAGCTGATGACTGCCCCTTCTAGTAATGACCTAGTATCATCTTAGAGCTATCACAATATTGTAAGGGTAGGCAGAAACTCCATTCAAAGGACAAACTCCCCTCCCTGCAGCCTGGAGCCTATGGCCCGGGCAATGGGAAACAGAAATCCCAAGAATCCGCGGGCTTCCATTGACCAGCCCTGCTCTGTGAAAGAGGGAGACTCACTTCCAGAGGTGGAGGGTTCCCTGAGATGTGTACAGCGCCCTCCTCACACTGCCTGTGCCTCCTATTCTCGCACACATTCCCCGTAGCTGACCCATCGTTTTGGGATTCCCTCTGGTCCTAGAAGCCAACACTTGTGGGTGAGAGTATGTGAAGGAACCAGGTCTCTTCCAGGCTAATTTATCAGGGGACTTCAGTGAATTTTCAGGCGGAATCACAGCAGAAGGAATTACAATTGTTCCAGGCAACAGATCAACTTGGGTGGGGAGATTGCTCCCTTGAGGGGCTAATAAGGTTCCCTGGCCCCAGAGCGCCATGTGTCAACTGGTTTCCTTGCCTGGCAGCTAGGAGTGAGTTGACAGTAGGCCCTAATGCTCAGATGTCAGTGTCTTCTAGACCAGACCACACGCTGAAGCCCTCCACCTGGGACCATGGGATGGGGTCGGGGAAGGTGGGCAGGATAGTCAGGGGCCCTTTCCATGCCTCAGCAGGTTTGACCCCTCTTGATGCCCCCCCCCCCCCCCCCCCCCCCCCCCGTCTGAAGCAGGCATCTCAAAGATGGTGCTCAGTGGGCAGGAGCCAAGGCCAGAGGGGCGGGGTCTTCCCCACTAGCTGGAGAGGCTGGAAGGCTCCTGCAGATTCCCAGTCAAGCTCATCATTGCTGTAGCTGTTTAGGAGGGCAGGCTGGGGAAGGGGTGGGACAGGGACCTACACTAATCCAGAGGCTGCAGAGGCCACTGGTCAGTTTGAGATGGGACTGCTGGTCTTAAGGGCTCTGTCTGATAGCGGGGTGTCTGTCTATCATCCCACTCCAACCAGCCCATAGCCGAGGTCCCTTTCTCTTGGACAATTTGGTTCTCTTTTTTCGCCATCCTTGCCTTGCGGGCTTGGCCTTCTTTACTGTTCCATTGTGGAGATTATAGAATTCCCCAATACACAGTCACTCACTCTCCAGCACCAGCCCACAAGCATCCCCCAGAGCCTCAAACATTGACAAATGCTGTGTTTATTGGTTTGTTACACTGAAGAGTATAGTTTTTGAGCCAAAAAACATACACACTCTACTCCTCACAAAACCACTGAGTCACTAAGGCAGGCACACAATGGCCACCATGCTTGGTGGAGGCCAAGGACTCACAGACAAGGGTGGGCGATGGGACAGGCTGGCCCCCAAAAGGCCGTGCAGTGCCTGGGGCAGGGGGTGGGCTGGGGAGGCTGTGCTGGGTGCAGAAGGGCTGCAGGGCCCTTTTTTGTGTTTCTCAAGTGCAGGGAGTCTCCAGACCTTAGTGATTGCTGGGCAGGCCCCAGCCCCTGTGGCAGAGTGGTCTCCTGGCCCTGGGGCAAGGCCCAGCCTGCAAGTGTTGGGAGGTGGGGGTGGGGATAACAGAACAAGCAGCATGACACCCCCACCATGAGTGAGGCTCTTCCAAGGGGGTTTCTGGGTCCTTAGGCCCCTCGACATCTGAGAAGTGCATGGAAGGCAGAGCTAGCCTTGCTTCTCACCAGCAACAAAAAGGGGAGACCCAGGCACCACCCCTCCCCCCAGCCTCAGGTCTCAGCAGATGCCTGGGATAGATGACGGACTGCCCTCAAGTTACTGAGCCACCTTTGAGAGGAGGCTGTGACAGGATCACTTCCCTAAGAATCACCCTGAGATTCCTCTCGAGAGGAAGTGCTCCAAGCACATTCCAGATCCTCCCGCTGGCAAAGGGTCATTTATACAATTTTCAGGGATGCATCTAATGCATAAAGCAAGAGCAAGGTGGCAAGAGTGAATGGTACAGACAGACGTGGGTGCACCGTATGGGCTGGGGGAGTGCAGGGGGTCACCTCAGGTAGCCAAAGGCAGTGGCAGTGCGGCTGAGGTGGGCTGCTCCCACCAGGCCCCGTGTCTGACTGCCCGTTTCAGAGAAGGGCCCGGAAGGCAGCCCAGGAAACACGCCCAAACTGGCAGCCATTCTGGCTGCCCTGACTGTGGTTGGTGTGCATACACCCACAGGTCCCGCAAAGGGACTCTCAGAAGAAATACAGCAGAGTACCCTTGCCTCACATGACCCTCACCAGAAGGGGCCCAGGCAACTATAACCCTGATAACTCTACAGGGCCCCAGGCTGACCCAGGAGGGGACATGAGCAGTCAGTCTGAGGCTGCAGGTGGCAGTGGGGTTATTTCCAGGTGTTTGAGAGGGGAGCAGAGTAGGTGTTCCCCAAATCTGCTGCTCCCTGAGGCTGCCCCTTCCCATCCTGGCCCTGATATGAGGGTACCCTGGCCCCTGACTTGCCCTGCAGGGGCCAGAACTGCCCAGAGTCGGATCCCAGGCTCACACTTTGTTAGGAACACGGCTGGGCAGGCAGGGTTGGCTGAGAGTTGGGGCAGTCTCTGCTGGGTCGCCCCTGCACCTCTCCCTGTGGGAGCCCGGGGGCCCGGAGCCCAGGCTCTGGCTGGCTGCTGCCTCCTGGCCGTAGCCCTCACTTGTTCTCTATGAGCATCTGCACCTTGTGGACGAGGTCCCGGGCAATCCGCAGGATCTCCTGGGCATCGTGATGCTCGGCTCGTTCTGGAGGAAACATGGATAACTGTGGGAATGCCAGAGCAAGGGCACTAGTCTGGGACGAGCCCTGTGGCTGGCCACCCTGCTCCATTTCCACCTGCTGGGCTCCTGACATTTGCATGCAGGAAAGGGACCCGGCATTTCTGAGCTCCTCCAAACATGCCCAGGCCAGGAGTGGAGGCCCCTGTGTCCCTGCTGGGGGCAGCCAGCATGGCTGGATGAGGTCCTACCGTTGAAGAACTTGATGATGTCGGTGAAGTCCATGTTGTTGTCACGGATAATCTCACGGTAGGCCTCCACCAGGGCCAGGGCAATGAATAGGACAAAGTGCTCTGATGAGATGTGCTGGGCCGCCCAGATCACCTCCCACACAGCAAACACATCCTCATACAGCAGCTCTGGGGACAGCAAGGGGCTAAGGCTGAGCCTGGCTGCCCAGGGGCCTCCGACGGAGCCGCATGTGGAGACAGAGCTCCAGGGGCCGAAGTCCTGGGTCCAAGAGGGATGGGTTCCATGCCTCAGGCCCAGACCCTGCCCTTCTCCTTGGTAATCCCTGCACACCGGGCTCCCACGGACTCCACACTGCCCTCTCCAGCTAGAGCTGCTGTTTTTACAAACCTTGGTGCTCAGGAGATTTGGTGAGAAAACAGTTCCAAAAACCATTGCCCAAGGGTGATTTTCCACTGTGTTTTCACTTTGGATTCACCTAAGGAGCTTTTAAAACCCCCATGCCCAGGAATCCAGCCGCACTAGCAGTCTGAGGCTGGGCAAAGCCCAGGGCACTGGCGTTTCTACACAGTTCCAAAGTGGTTCCGAAGTTCAGTTAGGGCCCAGAACCACTGACTTTGGGGCAGAAGGGTCTCCCACAACCCAACCCAGGCCCGCCAACCAACCCTCCTCTTACCTCTCTTAAAGTCCAGCAGGAACCAGCGGTAGCAGAAGTAGAAGTGGGTGTAGTCTCCATTCTGATGCATCAGCTCAAACAGCTCTGAGTCCAGGATCTTGTGGGTGGAAAGAGGGGGAAGGACTGAACCGAAGCTCCTCCCCCTGCTGTCCCCACCCTCCACCAGGCCCCTTCTGCTGTGGCGCCTGGTG